ACATTATTTACTTTATTTGGATTGTCCTGATCTTCATTGTCATATTCATGATGTTTCAGTTATTTTACGCTCTGGCCTTCTTCAGGTGAAATAAGGTGGGAGTAATTATAATAACTCATCACAAAAATATAAACTATTATTGAAATGTTGAAGAAATTAAAAATGGAATTTTGAAAGGAATTAAGTAATCTAGAAAATTCTTCTAGAAAATTACTCGAGTTGATATATTCAAGAGGAGGATCATAGAACTCTTCAGCGAAGAGACATTAAGTAAAATAAAAGATGCTGAAGAGAAAATGTTGACATAACATAATCCAATGTCTTAAAAATCGACTTCTAGATTATTCACGTCATAAAGTGATTGAAATTATTTTTCATATGGCAAATTAAACAACCATATAACAGCTAATTAAACTACAAAAAACAAAGTGAAACATGCATCTAAAACTGCTAAAATAAATCCGGTGTGTGTGTTTATATTGTCTCGCAAACATCCTAAAGCTGCAAGTGGCGACAAATTAGATTCTTACAGCTTTCGATTGGTTGTCATTTCCCATCGGCTCGCTGTTGTTCACATCATCCCAGCGGGGATGGACAGGCTCTCCAATCTAAGTAAGCGCAGAGTAGCATTGCGTTGCAAGAATGGACGCAGGTCGTCATCAGCTAAGACATCCTTTTAATGTAATGTGTGCTGACATTGCATTATCCTTGTGTACTGAACCCTCGTCTTTTACAATGAAAACAATGTTGTTGTCTACAAGCATATCCCATTTCCCTTTTCTCTGGTGTCTTCTTTGCCAACTTCGATCTTCCATTTGTTTGTCTGTCCATCTCAATTTTTCGGTCTTTTCTTTCGACTTACTGCCACCTTTTCTCTCCATTCAGCTTTGCTTATTTACCGATATTCGCTCGTTTCATAATTGTTTTCCTCACATATTTTTCTTGCCTGCGTAAGAAATCCATCGATAAATGACGCCACCCACTTTACAGCCTTTTTTTTTAGATGTTTCTCTTATTCTAGGGTTTATAGTCGTTCTCTCTTTTTTGATGCTCTTTATGTCTGTGTTTTAAGCTTTTATCGTGATAATAAATAGAAATCTACTCAGCTTAGGGTAAGCCCAGGAAAAATAGAAGTGACTGAGAGGGAAACGTTATGTCCATTTTTGGGGCAGCATTTTGAATAATTACTGTCTAGGCTTGAAAGCACGAGGCTAGTCCTTGCCTCAAAGACTAACCTTTGACACCGTCGGGAAATAGGGAGCTATATCACCCACGAAGCAAATTTCATCGCTGTTTTCTTTGTTTGTTTCTTTTCTTTCTCTCGAAACTTTCCCATTTCCTCTCTCTTTTTTTTTCATTCCACCCTGATTAACACTTTCTCGTTCTCATGATACGGGCTGCACACCCATTCCCCAGCGGCCAATATGGCGAAACACTAATCACTCTGCCGATATCCCCTTAAAATGTCATTAGCAGGTTTGCCAGTTGCAGTGAGCACTCTGAAAACTTGGTGCCAGGATTTGCAGTGTTGAAGATTGCCTTTATTCTTGGACCCTCGTGGGGCCAGCCCTGTATATGGAATTTCCAGTAGTATATGCCAAAAATGTCTCCTTCCCAAAGAAATTACCCTTTTGAACGAGAGAAAACTATCCTCCTGATTTGAATAGGCATTCTTCCCGCTGATATTCTAATAGATTCTCGTTTCAATAGCATGTCACAAAATGGACAGGTGCTTACGCCGAAGACAAACTAACAAATGTTAAAAGGATTCCTTTCCAGGCTCTGTTATTGGCCGTCTTTTGTGGTTTTACAAATGGAACAAAAAACAAAAGAATATGTTTAGTTGTCAGTTTCATGCAAGCCTCAATAGTTTTCATTTAATATAAACAATGAAGTATCGGTATCAATTGATTCAGGCATATGAATATATTAGCTAGAGGCTGAACCATGTTGTATGTCAGTAATTTTAAATTTTCATTTTTCCTAATATGGAATCTTATGGTAATGTCATTTAAATAAACTATTATATGAAAGTGATTATGAATAATTCGAATACTGGTCATTAAATAATGTCTGTATCTGCTGAAATAATTTATTATAAAAGACCACTACAAGTATAAAACTGAAGACCACCCTAAAAAAAGCAGTCTGCTGACTGGGTATGTTTATCGGGACGCAAAAGATATGACCACCATTTGGCTGTAGCTCTATGCGAAGTATAATCAGTGACGTTGTCAAATCCTTTTTCTCCTACCTCCGCCTCTTCTTCTTTAGCTAGTGTGCTAAATTTTTGGTCAGTGGTGGAAGATGTTTAGCTATTTCAAAGTTTGAATGTTACTTTTTGAGGATGGTTAGGATGTCTATAAAAAAGCATGTTCCTTATAGGAATTTATAGACGATGCCTTCTGTGGTACGATAGTATCACATTCCTAGTGCATACAATCACGCAGCTACATGCATGAATGCTTAACAGTTTCCGGACCAACAAAGAAACCTTTCTAAAAATTAAGTTACATCATTTTGTTAAGTACCCACCTTAAATATATATATATATATATATATATATATATATATATATATATATATATTTTATATATATATATATATATATATATATTTTTAAAGTACCTTATATATATATATATATATATATATATATATATATATATATATATATATATATTACAAAAAGTATTTCGCTTAAAGATGGAACAGAGCTTGGTACTTTAATTCAATTGAATTCAAATAATTATATTGAAGTTTCGGCTCTTGTTTTGAAACATGAGAACCCTTAACGAGCGATGGAATCATATTCTTAAATAAATAATTATATATATATATATCTATCTCTCTCTCTCTCTCTCTCTCTCTATATATATATATATATATATATATATATATATATATATATATATATATATATATAGACGAATTGTCCGCTCCTCGCAGCGTGTCAAACATTTTCTTGTCAGAAAATGATGATTGATTTTAAATTATTGTTATAATTGGTAGAGGAAAATGATGCATTTCAATGTTACTCAATGATGTTGCAGATGTGACCTCCATCTTCTGGCTTTCTCCTTTTATATTTTTGAATAGGAGTCATTCCCTTGTTCAAATTAAAATTTAATTTAAATCAAAGAGACAAAAATTCACTAGAGGTTTTGTACAAAATCAGCTTGATATATATTTAATGAAATACTCGAGTGAATGAATTGATGAACAGATTTCACCATTGATATGACAGTTGAATTGTAGCAGCAAATATATATTGTAAGGCACTAACTACTAATTGGTAATTTCATGCTTGACGTACATATTGACTCATTTTGATCTTGCTGATGTGACCTCCGTCTTCTGGCTTTCTCCTTCTATATTTTCAATAGGAGTCATTCCCTTGTTCAAATTTAAATCAGAGGAATAAAATCAGTGGTGGCCCGCTTTGATCAAAATGAAATATACTTATCCACGTACTCTAGGAGTCATTCCCTTGTTAAAATTTTAATTTAAATCAAAGGGCAAAAAATATTCAGTTGGGGTCCCCCCTCCAGGACAACTTTAAGCAAAAGGGTCTTGTCGATGTGACCTCCATCTTCTGGCTTTCTTCTTCTATATTTTGGATAAGAGTCATTCCCTTATTCCAATTTAAATTTAATTCAAATCAAAGAGAAAAAAAAATCAGTGATGGTGTGTGCCCCCCCCCCACCCCGCCACAGGGTTACTTTTTGATCATTTTGAAATATACCTATTTAAATAGCCTAGGAGTTATTCACTTGTTCAAATTTAAATTTAATTTATATCAAAGAGGAAAAAAAATCAGTGGGGATGTTTATGCCCCACCCCCGGGATCCTTTTTTATCAAAATGAAAGGTACTTACCCAAGTACCCTGGATAATGTAATTTCAGAATATACATGGCTATGGGCGTCTATGTCCAAAAGCCTAGGAGGATTTCGATAACAATCAAACAGACAGAGGGTACAACTTTATATATAGATAGATATACATTGTGGATCGGACCCCGAACTACTGTCAGTCATGATGAACGGATGTCCACTCAGTGAGGCACCGCAGCTTGAGAAAATTTCTGGCCATAAACTCACACCTGACATCAAGTGGAAGTCGTACGCACGATCCATCGCTAAAGAGTGAAATGATCAGCTTCCTGTACCGCTCTAGTAAATACCTGACTCCTCATGCTAATCTCGACTTTTACAAGAGTCACATCGGGACGAGAATGGGGTACTGTTGTTATAAAAGCGTCTCCAAATCCTTGTGGGTGACGAATTATTTTCCACCCTTCGACCCCTCTCTTTCTCTCTCCCAGGCTGGATGTGGCAAGCCTCTCGCTACTCTACAGCTAATTCCAAGGAAAGTGCTCGGATGAAATACATTCCTTGTTTCCGCCAGGTCTAACCCTCAACGTTAGGATACGCCATGCTACTCACAATGTAGCAAATCCACCCACATGCTTTCCGTATTCCATCTGTGGGAAGTAATTTCCATTTGCCATCCGTTTACATCAGCTCATTCGGTAGGTTAATCGATGTTTCCATCTACCCCACTAACCTTCAATAAGCCTTGGAAGTGTTAAATTCTCCAAGCTCTCTTTCCCCAGTATGTTTCGCAGGAATTTCAACTGTATTTTTCTGATTCTAAGATCGCGTATTTTCATTTTCCTTAAAAAACACTTTTCCTTGCTCACCTCCCCCGTCCAGGATATCCTTAGCATCCTTCTGTAAAACCATATCTCTTTTGCTTCATATCACTTCTTCATCTCAAAAGAAATTTACCAGCATTCACTTCATATAAGAGGATTGATAGTATGTAGCAGTTCAACACATTTTTTCTAACGAAATTTTTCTGTCTCTTAATACGTTGTTTAAATTTTGGAAGCCCACTTTCACTGTTCCAATGCGCGTTCTATTTACTTGAGAAACAATAGTGATCTAGTCGTCATTATTAGAGAAATCGATACAATCCAGTTAAATGAATACAGTCCTAAACAGCCTTTCCCAAAGACGAGACGAAGAATAATTCTGAATTAATCAGACAGCTATTGCCGTAATCAACACGTCTACGAAAAAGAGGATAAGAGCCTTGAGAAAGTTTGGTGTCACTTGATACCAATCAAGAATTTTGAAATAGCAGGTCTTCGAAAATTCGTAATAATAACATAATACGTGCGTGCGCGCACACACAATATATATATATATATATATATATATATATATATATATATATATATATATAAGGAAGTGACTTGATTCTCATACGACTGACTTTTCTTGTCGTTTCCTCCGCTACGTCTGCTTCTTTTTCCTTTACTCAAAATCACATCAATCATAAAAATTGGCGTCATTTTAAAGCTAACTGACTTCTTCTTCCTCCTCCTCCTCCCCTTTTCCTTCAGTTTGATTAACAGTATCATCAACATTAAGGGAAAATACGGCCGTTGTACTTCTTTTTTTTTTTTTTCGGGGCCCCATACTTTGGAACTGGGTCAAGGGATGAAATCATTTGTTGGCTTCGAGGTGGTTGGCGTATAAAGAAAATGGCGGAGGACAGAAAGATTAAAACGAGAGAAGTTAAAGAACTCTGACGGTCGCAAAGAGAAAGAACAAGCGACAAGGACAACTTGGGAAGTGTTGATAATACTGCAAATATGATTTTTTTTGTTTCATTTTGAATTTCCGTGATAAGGAGTTCTATTTACACTATTTACATTCGAACTATTGTCCTCATCTTTGTTGTTGTTGCTCTCACAACGTTTTGTCAGTTGCACCCTCCGAAAGAATGGAAATAGTGCAAATAATGATATTTTTATATTTAAGTTCACCCCAATAGGAGCCACTCGAGGTAGAGGGTTACTGTTAAAATGGTTATCATAAATGAGGTGTGATAATTGAAAGAATGGTAAAAGTGAAGATTATAATGATAAGGAGAATAACGATTAACTCTTTACTTGATAACGGATAATAATAGGTCTACTACGAGATATGTTGGTTCTCTGTGTTGTCCCTCAGACCGAGTATATCTTACCCCTTTACATGTCTACTATTCGTCCATGCTTAGAATATTACTAGCTCTTATTGTCTAGTGCTCCTGTAATATATTTAGAGATTCTTAATAAAATATTAAGGAAATTCGGCAACATCATTGGTCCTGATCTGGCATCTCGTCTTCAGTCACTTTCTCATCATCGTAATAAACCTTTTCTATAAATGATATCATTGTAATTATTCTCCGGAACCTTCCTTTATGTACTTAAACGCATTACTAGTTTAGCAGCAAGCTCTCATCATTTACAATGGAAATGGCTAGATGTGACTGTAAGTTATATGCTAACATTTTCTCTTCTCCCACTTCTCATTTGTGGAACTCTCTTCCGGCGTCTTGCTTTCCAGTCTAGTTTTATCTTCTTAAATTTAAATGCAGTGTAACTCGTTATCGTCTGTCTTCTTAATTGCTGTTCTTTTACTGTCCCTGCTCCTTAATAATATTTTTTTTAATATTCTTTCGGGCACAGTAGCCTCCGTTTTAGTGGGATGAAATAATTTTAAAAAAATGTGTAATTCATCCGCGCAAACTATTCCTTAGACAAGCAGTGACTAAGTTGTTAGAGTGAAACTAGCACCTTACAATTGTAATATTAGACGCAATGAGAGTGATTCAACTCTGTGAAATATAGCGTGGTGCGCCAATAACAGTAAGGATTCGGTCAGGCGGAGATCAAGAATGGAGTACATCAAAACATTTGCCACAAAGATAGCGAAAGATCTGAGATCGGATTGAGACTCTGCATCAGTGGGGAAAGAGGCTGTAGAGTGGAGATTATCCTTCTGTCCATAATAACCTCCGAACGACTGGGAATCGTATCAAGGCTGAACAGTGAGGACTGAGCAACCACCGCCCGGATCTAAGAGCATTCCTCCATATTTGGTCTGAACTAACTTTTGTAAAGACAATGCATGGTGGAAAGGGCAAAGTACTCGCTGGAGTGATAGGATGGACTCACCAATTTCCCAGAAATCTAATTTAACAGAATCAAAACATATGAAGAGGTACTGAAGATTCATTTAAGAAAACAAAAATAGAAGGGTCATGTCAATATACTAATATTGATTATAGTCATTAACTGAAAATATCCGCTATAGATTAAAGAATTAAACCAAACTGCAGCGATCCCTCTTTATCCGAGCTTTGGGTTTCTGGAGTTTCAGATATCCGCACTCAATACCGAAAATAAACTATTCAAAATATTTGCTCAATACTGATCGTCAAGAGTAATAGTAAGGACGTTGCAAGACATACGGGTGGTGTAATTGATAGCGGCTTGAAATGAGAAGCCGGAGAACTCTGTTCGAATTCCAGCTGGGGTTGTTGCATTCACTTACGCACCTTGTGAAATATCAGAATCCACCCCCTATTACCAGCAATAGGTTAATTAAATAGGACATAGCATGAAAAATCATTCTTATTCACAAAATTTGTTATTGCTATACTGACTTGCAAAAAAAAAAAAGAAAAAAAAGGCACATTTATACAGTCTAAAACATTTTTCTGCTTTAATTAACCCCAAGCGGGGGTTTATAAGCCGTAAACATTCCTTATTTCCACAAGGTCTAAACCTCACGGCTAGGACACGCCATGACATTGAAAATCTTCCACATTTCTTCTGTATTTCATTCTTGGGAAGTAATTTCTGTTTGCCATCCGTTTACATGAGTTTGTTCGGTAGGATAATCGATGTTTCCATCTACCTAACTCACCTTCAACATGCCTTGGGAGTGTTAAATTCTCCAAGCCCTCTTTCCCATTATAAATACTTAAGCGTAAAGGTGACAATATTTGGTCAAGAAAATAATTCCATAAGATCTAGAGTAAGGACAGATTCTCTATCTTTTAGTTTCTTATAACTGTTCAAGTTCGGTTAGTGTAATGTTTATCAGTGAGGTGAGTGAAACAGGCGAGCTGAGTTCAAATTCCTGTCTACTGTGTTGCACTCGCTTTCGCACTTACTCTACGATACTATCTAAATCATGCGTAATAGTAAAAATGTCAATTCTATAATAACTGAATGTAACAAAATATAAATGATTATTTATAGACGTCTTGTCGATCCGAGTAACCTACAGTGAATTTCGAACTGAAATCTATGGGGTGTCGACATCTTTCTTTAATCTATGGGATGTCGACATCTTTATTTAATCTATGGGGTGTCGACATCTGACCATGTCCTTATTTAGTTCCGATCACTTATTGTTCCAATTAGTTCACACTGCCCAGCCAAGAAATTGAACTCACGGTTATTATGTTGCCAAACTCACGAATCAACAGGTTGATTTACTTGGTTACTTTCCCGCGGGCCAAATCTGAGTAGGGAACATCAGCTGTTGAACCTAACTTGATGAGGGCTACTAATGCAACTATTCAGTAGTATGAGTAGTAGCAGCAGCTCCCTGAATATTCGGTAGGTTACCCGGATCGACATATTCAGACATAAAAGGAAGGAAATAACAAACGAAAGAAAAGATTGAGCAGAATGGGTAATCTATGAAGAAACGTGCTAACACAGATGATTTGACCAAGTCTCTTCGACAGATATGCCGAATAAGAACTCAAACCATCTAGACGATTCTTCTTCTCCGTACCATGTCATTTCAGGACTTTGGCGATTATGGCTCTACACAATTTCATGAGATTTGTAACTGTTAGTAAATTTTAACTTCTTTGCTATCTATCCTAAACCCTCCATTTCCACAAGCTCGTTAGGTAAGTTCTACGCTGTTTTACTTTGGCCTCTTGCTTTCCACCTGTCCTGTGAGCATTACATTTTCTATACACTATTTCCGCATTGGGCCTTAGAAATTTCAATTAACTCCTAAGTATAAGTGTCCTTTTTGTCTCCATTTTCTCTAAAACTCCGTCGTTGCTCACAGATTCGTTCCATGGCATCTTCTTGTAGAACCTCTTTGATGCCTCAAATATTTTTTCATGTGTGAGAAGATTGTCCAGTCTTGTAGACGGTAATATTATTAACATCGTTTGAATCACTAAGAAAACTGGATTATTGGAAAAACTTGATGTTATTTGATCTCCAGTGACGGTTAACAGATAGAAGTGATTTTAAATTACGAGAGAAGGAAGAAGAAATGGAAGACTATGACGATGAAAATTGAGGAATGGATTAACCTCAGCAGTTTAGGAAATACTCAGTCATCTTTAGTTATGGCAACCGGAAGGGAATTTAATCTTAATAAAACCAATTATAATACTTTGAAAATTAACAACAATCTACGAACGAAATGAAAAAAAAAAAACTTTCAGGGATTTCTGACATATTACAACTCATTATGTCAACATGGATCATCAATAATGAAAAGTAATTCCTAAAGCCGATCACAAAATCGCTGAAAATACCGCAAAATCAACTTCAAGGAGTTCAGTCAATATCATTTCTGTTTGAAATGAAAAAAAAAAAAATTGGCCCCTAACTTAGTTAACGTCTTATGCATATTCAAATTCTCAGAAACTCAATTCTAGGAGTAGTAACCATTCGATTATGCATAGAGAGCAACTATTGTTTAATTGTTGATAAAACAAAGAATTTATGTAATAAGCGAACACAGGTGAACAATTATATATTTAATAATACATGTTTATTCAGGTTAACAATTATATATTTAATTGGTTGAATTAAATAGCAGGAGAGTCTGGATTCTATAGACTTGGTTGGCAACCAGTCTATAGCAGAAAAAATGGCAATCTACTGCAGGAAAATTTTTCTGCCTGGTCGGTCATAAATCGAAAGAGACAGGATCGCTCAAAGTGTATCACCTATATGTCATGCGTGATGCACGATTGGGTGATCATGTTTCGCCTGTGTGTGTGTGATTACAGATTAGAACAAATTCAAGAAAAGTAAAAATAATAAATCGCAAATAGATAAAATAGCAACTACATGTGTGTAGAGAGAAATTAAGATATTGTATCAATTTAACAGAAAAGTTAAGTAGGGGTAACTGGCGAGGAGCGTCGTCCCATTGAGAACAGTGCAAAAATATTGGATTAGACGACGTAAAGAAATATAAAGGAAAACAACAAACTGGTGTAGACATTTCAAAATCGGTTGATTTTCAGTTCATTGCAAAGGATGCAAATATTTTTTCACAAATGTTGGATAAAAAGGCCAATACCTTTCTAGTGAACATCAAACAGTTTTGAATATCTAATTAAGGATGATACCGACAAGTACTGGTGGGTCATTTGAAACTGTTCCGCAGAGCTTTGCAACATAATAGAAGAAATGGCAATAAAGTATTACTAAAAAATTAAATATTATTAAAGATTACTTGTAACTGCATGCATATGTCCCAGTATAAATGCTTGTAAATAATTATTGACCGATTTTATCACTGTGATATTTTTCTATTATCTTTATCTCTATCGATAAAAGGCAGGATGTGTGTGTGTGTGTGTGTGTGTGTGTGTGTGTGTGTGTGTGTGTGTGTGTGTGTGTGTGTGTAACGAATGCATGGCCGCAATTTTCGACGGGTTTGCACCAAAATTTACATGCACATGCTCCAAGCTATCGGGAAGGCTAAGACCGACGTTGCATTTCCCAACTCCCATCGATAGTGGAAATATTCGATATTTTCATGCTTCTACGGCAGTTTTCATGTAGTTTGCGGCCATTTTGTACTGGCCAGAGTGAGAGCCTATAGCTGGCTACCACGAATAGGCAGGCAGATACTATTGGCCAGCGTGAGAGCCAACAGTTGACTGACACGAATGTTAACTAGCATGAAAAAAAATAATCGATAGCTGCATTCGTCACAAGTGGGAAAAATTTAAATCTGCATGACACTTTACTCTAATTGGCTCATTCGATTGCTTAAACTCAACATTGATTCTGATTCCGGGTTGGGTGTGAAAAAGTATTTGTTGTTCTGACTTTGAATGCGTGGTTATCTCCCTTTAACCATCTCTCTCTATATTTTTTTTATTTTTTATTTTAAATGTACTTTTTATCATATAAAATTTAGTGAAACAGAAAAAAAATTTAATTCCGAAAATGTGGCCCAGACAAAAAATAAGTTTGGAAAACACTGGGTTAGACTGTTACTGAATGAGAAATGTTATGTGAATGTAAGATGAGGTGTTAGAAAATGCATATTATGTGCATAGGGAAGATATATAGCGATTAACACTTGACATGCAAAGGTTAAAGTTTTAGTATTCAGGGAAGCATTCATTTGTGAATTCGTTCTATAAATTAAGTTTTTTTTGTTTTGTTTTTTAAATAGCTGTCTGAGTCAACTTCCTCTTCACAATTGGAACACAAAGTAAATGAAGTTGTTTAGACACTATGGAGATAGCATGACGTGTCCCAGGTGTAAATGTCTGAAATGGTGGAACTAATCAATGGACCTCATCTGAACATTTGTTGTGGGAATAGCGATAAACTATTGATAGGCATGTGAAGTTACTTTTGTGCAAAATATAGTGCAGAGTGAAGAATAAATCATCACCCGCTATAACAAATAATAGACTGAGAATTCTATAAATCTCGAAAGTGATGATTGAGAAGCATTTTACAGAGTGACATCAATTTTGGTCTAATCTAAATTTTAAAGACAAAGCATATTTGAAGGAGTTAATTACATTCTTGAGCGATAGAAATGTTGAGTTTGGTTTATTTATATATATCAATCTCAAACGGTTATTTAATGCCAACAAGGTTTTCCGGATAGGTTCGTATGAATGGAGTATGTATTCTTTGTAAGGAATCATTTTGTAGATCAGGTCTCATTGACATATTTTTTAAAGGGGGATTTTGTCGAGAGTCAAATATATTGCTGGTATTCATTTTTTCTTCAAAATTTTATTGTTGGAAATAATTTTTCCTTCAAACATTGGTTACAAAACAATGTAGGTAAGCAGATTTATTAAACAGATTTGTTTTTTTAATATTTTTCTGTAGAGCCCAATTTATTTAATGAAATTTATGATGTTACTTGGATCGGTATTTTCAAATATATCCTTCAAGTCATCCGATTTGTAGAGTTTGTTTCGAGTTTTGAGCGATAGAAAGAGATGACTATATAACGACTACAAAGTACGTATAATAATAATTATAACAAGTGCCTTGATTCAACACCAGGCTTAGCTCTTGTAGCGTTTGATCTTAACCGATTCGGGCTGTTAACATATATATTTTTTGTTTCTTTTTAGATAAATTAAGATGAGCCAGAGGAAATAATCCTGTACATATTTAGCTTTAGTTATCGGACTTTAACAAATAGACAATATCCATTAGCGCTGACCTTCTTGGCATCTCATATGAACTGCATTAGCTACACAGACTATTGTCAATATTTCTTTGTTAGTTGAAGATTGCTTGATTGGTTGATTTTGTTTAACGGCTTATCAACCTCTATGGGTTATTTAATGCCAAAATCTAAATATTTTGTACATAATTTTTTGATGTTAACTACAGATATTTAGTACATAATATACATTCAGTGTAAAGATCTGTTTTGTTTAGATATATATTTTGTAGATCATAAAATCTATTGTAGCTACTTCTACTATAAAAATGTATTTTTATAATTTTTTTAGTGTTGCATTGATTGTCATTTTACTTTAATAATGCATTGTTTGTTATTTTATTCTAAAAATGTACTCTTGATTTGTGGGAGGGGGAATTCACTATTTTCCGACAACTGGGTCCCTAACAGAAGCTACCACCCCGGAGTCAGGGTAGATCTGGGAAAAACAGCACTTAAAACCCTACACTGAAGCCGCTAGTGTCAATCTTTCCATGGTTGAAATTGCCAAAGGTTTAGGTTGTTAAATCTGAAAGAAAAAGAAAAAAAATCATTAGACGCTTAAAATTAATTCACATTTAAAATCCATCCAAGTTATTGGAAGTCCCTTTATATTTCTATCCGAGCGTCATATATTTTGGCATGCTGCTCTCTCATTCAATAATAGAAATTATATTTAAAAACTTATTTTTGCTATCGTTATTACCATAAAGATTATAAGCACGTTTATATAATATAATTCATGATGATATGCATAAGTGTTATTAAAGAAATAATTGAAAAATAGCCATTCAATCAAATGTCTAGATATAAAGTAACAATGTAAATGCTAAAATAATACAAATAATACTTGCGGCAAAGCTTCGTCCGAGTTCCTCTCTGCCGAGGCAGAGAGTTCGACAGTTAGAGCAATCTATTCGACTGTTCGTCCAAGGTCTTCTCTCCTATTAATCTTATAGTAGGCGGAAGAGTCCAACCGACTCTTTAGAGGGAGGACACCACAACAGATAGATAGATATAAATAACAGTAGTGATAGATAGATAGATAGATAGATAGATAGATAGATAGATAGTGTTTTGGTGTCCTCCCTCTAAATCTATGTTAGACTCTTCCGCCTACTATAAGATTAGTAGGAGAGAAGGCCTTGGGGGAACAGTCGAATAGATTAAGATGTTTTGACCAAGTAAATGGTTAAAGAAATAACAAAACAAGTGTTGCAGATATATCATATATTAAACAGTAAGTACAACAACAGAGTATTACACAACTAGTGAGTGTGTGTCAGTTGACCCAGCGTTCAATCTATTCGACTGTTATATTTACCAGACTCCCGAGATGACACTGCCCTTCGACATAGCCTTGTCTGGGGATCCCCTGTACCCGGAAGCAGAGGTTGACCAGCACAGTACGTTTAATGTGGGGCAATAAGAGTCCGTAGGCTCGAGCAGAAATTCCACATAGATCACGTATGAAACAGGGTCAGGATAGCTGTTTCCAGAGACGTGACTCTGTCCTTCGACATAGCCCCGTCTGGGGATCCTCTCTGCCCGGAGGCAGAGAATTTGACCAGCACAGTGCGTACAAATCTGTTCGACTGTTAATATTTAACAAAAACCTGTATGCATGTGGCACAAGTCCGAGTTTACCGTGGGTTCTACGATCCCATAGGCTCGGCCAAAAATATTCCCTTTGAACCCGCATAAACGGGTTCACGGCCTGTCTACCTCCCCGGACGAAACTTTGCCCTTCAGCAAAGCCTGTCCGGGTTCCTCTCTGCTCGACGGATGAACAATCTGGTCGACTGTTATATTTAACAGCCCCCCCCACACCAACACACACGAGGGATGTATGTGACACAAGGCCGAGTTTACCATGGGTTTTCCAAGCCCGTAGGCTCGGCCAAAAATATTCCCTTAGAACCCGTATAAACGGGTTCAGGGCCTGCCTACCTCCCCGGACGAAACTTTGTACTGCGGCAAAGCCTCGTCCTGGTTCCTCTCCGTTCAAGGCAGATAATGCGACAGAAGAACAATCTGATCGACTGTTCCCTAAGGCCTTTTCTACTACTAATCTTATAGTAGGCAGAAGAGTCCAAGATAGACTCTTTAGACGGAGGACAGCACAACAAAAATAAAATTAGAAATTACTAAAGGTGATTATTTAGCCACAATATGTAAAAGATTACGTGTCAGGTAAAGAAAATAGAACTGGTGAGTATTTTATTGCTTAACATTAACAGATGGATTTGTAATAAAGTGACTAAGTGTTAGAACCAAAAATGAAGGTCGTTCAGAGGCCCATGATGGAAATAGAATTACCAAAATAAATTAGCACATGAAATTGTAATATGTTTAGAACTATTACCCACCTACAATCTGATGATGCACACCGGTTTATATTTTGATTACTAGAGATTAAAGTGAGAGGAACAAGAAAGTGCCACTTGGTGGATCTAAAAGGGACTAAATATTAGTGTAACACAAATGACTATATGTTAGAGAATCGATAGTTAATCGGTGAGGATCAAGAACTAAGTAAATGGAAAACTATCTGCAAGTGATTAAAGGTGCGAGGGACAAGAAATGACCAAATAATTGGTGGATTAGGATGGGGCTAAAGGATTAATGTAACAGGATCAAGAACTAACTAAATTGCAGAGGGCGCAAAGATGATTAAATATTAGAGGGATAAAAAGGGATTAGGTATTAGAGGGATAAAAAGGGATTAGGTATTGGATAAAAAACGGATTAGGTATAAGAGGGATAAAATGGATTAGGTATTAGAGGGATAAAAATGGATTAGGTATTAGAGGGATAAAAACGGATTAGGTATTAGAGGGATAAAAACGGATTAGGTATTAGAGGGATAAAAATACGGATTAGGTATTAGACGGATAAAAAAAGGATTAGGTATTAGACGGATAAAAAGAGACAAAATATTAGATCGATGAGAAGAGACAAAATATTAGAGGGATGAGAAGAGATTAATGTTAGAGGGATTAGAAGTGATTAATGTTAGAGGGATTAGAAAAGATTAATGTTAAAGGAATGAGAAGAGACTAACAGTGTGTGGAAAAATGTAAGAAGATAAAGAACTGGGTAAATGTGAGAGGGCAAAGATTTGATTAAATGAGAGCGGATCAAAATCTGATTAATGTGAGAGGAACCAGATTTGATTAAATGATTAAGAAATGACAAAATGTGAGAGGACCAAGTACAGGTTAAATGTGAGAGGAAGAAGAAGTGACAACTATGAGAAGATCAAGAGTTGATTAAGTGGGATTGGATCAAGAACTTAATAAGTATTAGAGGACAAAGAACTTACTAAATGGAAGAGGAGCAGGAAATGACTGAATGTGAAAAGGCTAAAAACTGATTCAATATGAAAGGATGTAAAGAGACTAGAAGGAAGTGGCTAAAATAGTGAAGAATAAGGAGTGACTAACAGTGAGGATGATTAACAGTGAGGCGAATACGAACTGAGTAACAGACGAATAAGAAACTGGAAATAGTGAGGCGAATAAGAAACGGGAATCATTGAGGCGAATAAGAAACGGAAAACTGAGCCGAATAAGAAACGAGAAACAGTCAGGCGAATACGAAAAGGGAAACAGGGAGGCGAATATGAAATGGGCAATAGTGAGGCGAATACGAAATGGAAAACAGGGAGGCGAATACGAAATGGGAAACAGGGAGGCGAATACGAAATGGGAAACAGTGAGGCGAATAAGAAAAGTAAAACAGTGAGGCGAATACGAAACGGGAAACAATGAGGCGAATACGAAATGGGAAACTGTGACGCGAATAAGAAAAGTAAAACAGTGAGGCGAATACGAAACGGGAAACAGTGAGGCGAATACGAAACAGTGAAACAGGGAAAAGAATAAGAAACGGAAAACAGTGAAGCGAATAAGAAACGGGAACCAGTTTGGCGAATAAGAAACATGAAATAGTGAGGCGAATAAGAAATGGGAAACAGTGAGGCGAATTAGAAGTGACTAAATGTGAGTGGAATAAGAACATAAGTAATTATCAAAAACAGATGAAGCGGATGTGATCTACTGACACAACGGAGGTCAACCGAAAAAGAAACGAGTAGAAAATTCAAAAATAACTGATGAATGGCGTTGAAGAAGAGAAAAGAGATTTATAAATTCCGCAAAATGGTGCTGAAAAATTTTAACGTGAGAAAGGAAAATCGACAACTTTGGAGAAAGAAGAATTGGGGGAAAAAAGTGAAGAAGATTTTGACAAATGTGTGTAAATGCTTGACATCAGAGCGGGGATGTGGTCGGGATTTGTTTTTGTGGCGTCGGTGTTGTCCGTGACAATTGAGCCTGAAGGTATTGGTGGCATATCCTCCAGAGATGCCTGTGAAGGGCTATGTCGTATGGGCGTAGAAATGTGTGAAGGTTGGCCGTGTCAATTCAATGTCAGCGAAGATTGTCTGTGAATGTCATAATCGGTCGGAATTTGCCCGGTAAAAGAAGGTGCGCATATGATAAATGCAGTCGACTTTCTGCATTGGCCAGGCCTATATCGCTAGGGAAAAACATTTGCAGAAAATGGTGACGATGGCGGATATAACCTGGTTGAGGTGAACGATTAGGTGGTAGTTATTGTGGCGGTGGCTGCGAAGATGATAAAAGGGGGAATTCTTTTCGTTTTCTTCATGTTGGTTCTGCTGGTGTCAAATTCAGATGTCGTGGGAAGGTGGATGGTTGGAGATATATAAAGGAATGGCAATGTGGTGGCTGTTATTAATTTTAAGGTCAATAATACTAGTATTTTTATTGGGACATTGATTTAAAGAGCGGGGAAACATGAAATAAAGATGGTTATGGTAATAGCCGTTTCCGTATAAGGAAATATTCGGCATTCATTCACCGAACAACCACTGCTACTCCAGTTAAACTATTCTTCACTTCCTTGGTCTGTTGTTGGGATCAAATTGTAATATCTTTTCTCATGTCTAAGGATAATATTAGCCGTTTCTATATAAATGAAGCATTTAGCATTCATTGATCGAGAAACCATTGTTGTCGGTCGGAATTTATAAAATCTTTCTATTAAAACGTTTTTCAGGAAAATATTATTCTCAAGTTCACTACTTGTTATTGATCTTTCAATACTGATGGGGGCTTCCTTTCTAGTTTTTTATTTGAAATACTTTGGAAAGTCATCACCTTGACTATCATTTTCACCGTCATTTATACGTGAGTACCATTTTAGTTGCGGGTGCTGTTGAAAGTCCTCAAGAGATGCGGATTCAGTTATCTGGTACAGGTCCTTTTTTGTGATTCTGTCGCCGCGGTTCAAAAACATATGATCTTCGCTGGTTCATGTTTCACTTGCGCAAAATCACTTTTAGCCATCGATCTGAGAAAGTGTTTGTATACAGCTGACTGTTTAAATAGATCAGAAAGATTATTTGCACCACGCTTGACATCCATATAAAAATCTCGTTCTTAAGATTATATTTAAGAACGAGGCTCGTTTTTATCTGGTTAATGAGTGTTTTTTTTATTGTATTTAAAGAACTTCCGGTTTGGGCGAAATTAACTCTAGCATAGCCTATTCTATATTCCATTTCTTTTTCTCCTATACTATTTGTTATAAATGGTCCATACACCACGGTTTTTTGAACTGTTTAGCATGTAGTAATTCAACCTTCTGAATTTATATGAATTATTTAGGGTCGATGTCATCACTGCTTTCATTCCAATTCCATATTTTCTATTTTGGATAGTTTTTATCTAGAGTCCCGTTTCTTGGAAAACATGGTAGAGTATCTTGATTTTTTCTTCAAGTTCATTCGTATCCTAACAAAAATACCTATAACATCAGCAGAGAATCTCTTCCCATCTTTAGTGCACTGGCCTCGAAATGAAAATCAGGATGGCTGTTTTCTGTTGGTAGAATCGTTTAGGATGTGATATGTGATGTTTAATGCTCAGTGCCCACCTCTTCATATGTGTGCTTGTATATGCGCAGAACAGTCGAAGAAGAGATTAAATAAGTCCGTACACTCATTTCCATCTTGCCCCATTCTTGATGAGTTTTAAAATATTTCGGTATTGTTGTCCTCGTTAGATATACACGACTCTGTAGATAGATATAGATCCTCTATTTGTTCTAGAGAGTGGAGTCAATTTCTAATGAGTAAGAAGAGGTGGTATTATAGAAAGAAAAAGGCAGGGAAGGAGAAACTGATTAATAATTAGTTATAATAGAAGAGAGATATTAAAACAAAAGAAAAAGTGAAATTTGATCGTGTCTTCGAGAACGATAAAAAGCATGGATCGAAGAAGGGTGTGAATAATATGAAAGATGTCGAAGCGATTGTAGAGATGCAACATTTAGAATCTGAGCATAACTTATGAGACAAAACCTGGTTGTTGATTGTTGGTATCCTTTGGCAGAGATATCTTGTTTTGTTTAAAACCATTTCTTAATGACGACAACATTTAGTGAATTTCCCACAATTCGAAGCAACGTCTAACACGGAACCACCTCTATCAAGTACGTCAAGAAAATACTACACTAATGACATAAATTTCATCCGGTTGAGCTATCTCATGAGTCTATCACGCCAACCATCACGGGCCTGCAACAAGGTCGGAAGGTTATTAGGCTGGCATTCTGTATTATAAAATAGCTGGTCAATGTAGATCCTTTGTATCATGGCTAGGTGTCCAGAGCAGTAGATCATTCACAAGTTCTTGTTTTACTCGCCAGGAGTGAGCGGCAAAGCGCATTATAATCGCGAAGATTGTCAGCAGGCCACTGGTGGGCCTCTAGCGGCCCGCCAGTTGTACTATTGCCTATACAAACACGCCGGCGGTCCGATAGCGGGCCACCATCGGTAAACGCTACTGGAATATTAGTGGCTTGCGTGTAAGAGAGGTAGTTCAAGGTAAGAAGCAGCCAATGTGACTTGATAGTTACACCTAGATACTTTGGAACATCGTTAAACGGGAGCCATTTAAATAGATTTGGTTATCCGACTTGTATACTACTTTTATTACAAAGCTTTCACCATATAGCGCAAAGTAGTTTGCGGTGCATTTGCCTTGTATATATCAGCCTGATAGATATGTTACGATTTCTAAGGGGTGTTCCAATAACTTGGACGGATTTTAAATATGAATTAAGTTTAAGCGGCTATTAATTTTTTTCTTTTTCTTTCAGATTTAACAAATTAAGTCTTCGGCAATTTCAACCATGGAAAGATTAACAGTCAAACCTCGTGTTACATTTTCAACAGTTTAATTGTGAATGGGATGGGACCATAAAGCTGTGATTCTGTTGGATGTTGTCTCCAAGACATGTTAAGTATAAATCTCAGCAGCTGAACTGAGGTCCCACCAGACTTACACAGTAGGGTTTTAGTTAATTTTCAAGCAGTGGAAGCTTATATTAACACAGCTTCTACAGTTGTTCAAATGAATCTATATTTGTGGTTGTCAGGTAGGTTAAATTTCCTCATTACATCCATTTTATTCAAGGCGTCCCAGGCATGATTTACGGGAATTTTCCCATAATTCATTTCGCTTCCAAGGTATGTAAAATATGTACAATAAGCGTGAGAAAGTGATTATTTTTTACGTCTTATTAACAGTTTATGGTTTATTTAAAGCAACAAATATTGGCGAGGAAGGTTTCTTACAGAAACCAGTGTTCAAAAGTGATCCCCAATCTAAATACTGACTCGGCTCAGCTTTGCTTAATTTAAGTGACCAGTTGTTTTCATCGTCATTTGACCCAGACAAGACAGAGTAAGCGTCTACTATTTATATTGTTCACAAAAACGAGATATTATTTCAATCCACAATACGTGTCCCCGTTAAATATCCATCAAAGCGTTAAGACATAAGAAGAACAAAAAAACAAATCAGTCTCCAATATTTCCATTGTTCGGACTATCGTCCTCATCTTTGTTGCCATATTTATCACAACGTTTTGGCCGGTGGTGTAGACTCTTCTAGTTCCACGTGCCATGTATAATGAATGTCAGTTATCAGTTATCTACTGTTAATTCCAACCATCTGAAGAAGGCCGGAGCGTACAACGGCCGAAACGCTGTGACAAATATGGCAACAAAAATGAAGATGGTATTCCGAACAATGTAAATAGTGTACATATTACCTCATCTCAGAAATAGAGACAGATAGAGTAAGAGCCTCTTTAAAAAGTAAAAGCATTAATGATGACTTCAAATTCAGATTTCATTCTGCTGCTCTCATTCATATGTGTTGCGTTAACTTGCTATGTTGAGAGAGAGAGAGAGAGAGAGAGAGAGAGAGAGAGAGAGAGAAAAGTGGGAGGACAAATTCAGGACCAACATAACCCTAACCCTTTTGCAACACAATTCCAATATGATTGTCGATATGAAATTATGGATGCTCAAATAATTGATACGAAACTTATGAAAAATGAATGACTCATGAAATTCGAGGAAAACAGTTGCATGCTTAATAGTTATGTTTTGTAATAACGTTTATTTTCAAAACAGCAAAATTCAGGTAAAATCGTAACACATTTTGATATATCATTATGATTATATATATATATATATATATATATATATATATATATATATATATATATATATATATATAAAAACTCCCCGTCGTTAACCCATTTTACGACAGATGAGGCTCTCCGATTCCTCAATCCGAGCCACTATCCATTATTCCTTACGTGCTAATACGCTTTGAAAAAGTATGGAAAGAGGGTGGGCAATTGTAAAATCATGGCTATGAGAAATGTTTATACATGTTTTTTAAAAAATTAACTATATTTTAAGGTAAAAGATAAAATCTGTCGGCAATTTATAGTTAATTCTCTCCTTTGGTCTAATACGGATTTTTTGTCAGGTAATTTTACAAATTCTATTTTTTTTATGTAAACATAAGAAGCAAGGTTCATTTAAAATTTGCAAGTTCTTTACTATGGTTGTAAAAGACATCTTCACTGGAAGAGTTATTGTCTTAGTATATAATGGACCATCCTCTACGGGTAATTACCAAATTTCGTTTATTCAGCTTTCATATTGGTATTCATTGCCGACCAGTTAGTATTATTAATAATTTATATAGATGTCCCACATTTTTAATTTTATCTAAAGGCCCCTTTACGAAGCTTCCTTTATCTAAAATTTAAAAAGAAATTATATCAAATTTACGTCTGATTATCCTAAATGCCCTTTCAAAAAATTGAATATGTCATATTTATCTACTATCCTGATATATTTGTCATTTACTCATTTTCCGTAATTGTCAATGTTGTTTTGTCTATGCTCCGGTTTAACATAGGAAAAAAAATAACTCACACACCTCCACCTTCTGAGTATACTTCTCTATTTAGCGCAGATCTGAAATTTAATTGGTTAATCAAGATATACCGATGAGAAACATAGTCAACAGTGTTAATTCTTTGTCCACACTAACTATAAACGCTTTCTATCTCCCTCTCACTATATATATATATATATATATATATATATATATATATATTATAATATTAGTGGTCACTATATATATATATATATATATATATTATAATATTAGTGGTCACTATATATATATATATATATATATATATA